ACTATTTTTTGATCATCAATTACTCAAAATCAATTTACTAGTCCCGTAACCCATTTTTAATAGATCAGCTCCCATATGACCCGTAGATAGGCTCAGAAATTACAGCTTGATGGTCTGAGATATATTTACTAAAACAATATGCATAATGTTAAAAAAATTTAATTTGCAATATTAAATATATGTATATTTTTTGAAATCATTACAAAATTAATTTTTTTGCTTTGATATCGTCGTCTTGCATCAGAAAAGCTTTCATATGGTATGGTTTTAGATTGAAAATTCAACTAGACCAATTTTCCGTATATAATACTGATCTTTTTCTAATTTTTTGCATCTCGTACGTTCAAATTTCAGCTACTTAAATGGTGACATTTTATAATCTTAAAATAAAATTATGAGTACGATTATTGATCCAACAGTAGAATCTTCAATATTAACATCCTTTACCGGGTTGATAACTGTAAGACCAGTTTTTGAAGTATAACTGAAAAAAAAGAAAACGAAACGTTGTAATTCAATCCGTCGAACGAATCAATATGGCAGATTTACACGAAAGAAGGCATTGGCAAATGAATTGATAATATTTCTTTTTTGGGCTCATGGTTTTGGATAAATAATATCTCGATTTGGTCGGGATTTTATATAACCTAACATATATAACAAATAAATATAAGATAATATAAATTCTATCTACAGCTATGGGGTTAACGACCAAAGTTCTTTATTACAATCAACGTCTCTACATCATCATAGGTTTTAAAATAAAATTTATAAAAGAAAAAATTATAAAAATTTTCTTTTAATTATTTATGAGTCTACCTAGCCAAACCACGCAAGAACAGTTCTATTTCCATAAATTCTATTAAAATTAATATTTCTTTAACCTCATCTCGTGATTCACATGGATGTCTTCTCAAATTCATATGGAAACGTTGCCAGACAACTTTTTTCAATAAATAAAGTAAAAGATAAATTTGAAGATAAAAAAAAAATTTTTTTGGGATAAATTTTTTCATCTTGAAATTGACCAATCATGATTCCTTGTAAAATTAAGTTTAAATAAAGAATAATTTAGACATAATTTTTTTTCTAGATTGCACAATTGACTTTATCAAAAATTTTCCCTCATGATTATACGGAATTATTCATTAGTATACAAATGTGTTATCAATGAGGTAATGATGCGTCCGAAAACGAAACGTTTCGTCACATGACGAAACGAAACTTATTTTGTCACGCGTTATTAAAATACGAAATTACGAAATCCGAATTTATGTACGAAATTCAAATTATATATGAAACCCAAATTTATAAAAAAACTTAACCAATTCAATTGTAAATAATTTAAATCAGTATTTATTTAGAATATTTATAAATAAAACTTATTAT